CGGGGCGGACTCCGACTCGGTTCCTCTGCCCTCTCGTATCGGGACCCCGTCTTATCCCTGGACCCTTCCCTTCGGTCCCAGGACTCCTGACTTCCGCGTCCCTGGGTCTCAGGCCCCCTTCTACTCAGTTCTGGGACCCCTTCTTCTCTAACTCGAACTTGGCAACCCTGTTCCGCCAATCTCTGACATCTGGGGCTGTTCAAAAGTAACCTTTGAGAGTGCAGGACCATGCCGGTCTGTTCACATAGTTCTTGGATGAGGGCGAGCAAGTTATCTTGTACTGGAACCCCGCGCCATCACCGCACGCACACACACTCCCTCAACTACAGGAAAGTATAGGATGCCCTTCCTTCCTTGTCCCCTCTCCCACTGAGCGCCACCCCCCCCCCTTTTTTTTTTTTTTTGTCTTTTTCTTTCTGCCATCAAAACTGATCTATCTGAGCGGTCCTGTTGAAGGAAGGATCTCCTCTTCATTGTAAGAGACCCCTAACTATTCTCAAACGCCATTGTTTCAGGACTCATCCCTAATTCTGGGGCCTGCCGGAATTAGGGATCTGCTTTTTCTGTGACCCAGCCTCAATGCCTTTCTGCTTAGCCAGGTACTCAGTATCCTATCTCTCTTGCAGCTAGAGGGGATCCTGTAATGAATATGGATCATTCATTACACCCAAACATCCTGAGCTGAACCTTGGCTTGAGTGGTTCCTGTCTTCCCCACCTCCATACTCAGGTGGGATGTATATTGCACTTTAAAAGAAAAGTTTGTGGGATCAGCGCTTAGCGTAATGGCTATGTCGCTGAATTTCCATGTAGCCAACCTGGATTCGAGGACTAGACCGAGTGGCTTAAACTCAACGCTGGACTCGTGTACGTGCGTGCCCAAGATCCCAAGAGGAGAATGGAGAAGGGATTGCTGTGTGGCCATCCCCCCTGGGGGGTGCTTTTTCGCTTTCTATCTCTGGCTCTCTCTGTCTTTCTGGAAAGCGCATGTGCCCTGCGCCCTATGGCAAAAACCTCTCCAAAAAAGGAAAACAGTTTGCTTCTCATCTTCTCTCCTTTTGGAATGTATTTGAAATCTAATGTTATACCATTAAAACCATAGAGCTTTAGGGGTCATTGAGTTCAATCCACAGATAGGGAACCTGAGGTCTGGGACAGGGTAAAGAGATACTGAAGATCACTCAGTGCATGACAGAGCCAGGCAAGCTCTCCAATGTTGTCTTCCATAACCACCAGAGGACTGCAACCTCACTCCCCTCTGGTTCACATCTTCTTGTTCACTTGCACACTGTAAACTAAGTTTGTCCCCCCATGTTTATACTTCTGTGCTTGATACTAAGAGACATACATCAAGCCACTTTATGTATGTACAAACACTGTTACCACTGTACGTGTCTTAGAGGCAGTTGCTCCAGTTCAGACACAGACACTTACTCCTGGACACATGTGATCACTTTGTGCTTGTACACACACATCCACTCTTGCACACTTAGCTCTCTCCTGTCTTGATGGCACTAGCTTGAAGCCCTGGAACTATCCATGTAGGCAACTCTTTCACTCCCATTCTTTCCCTCCCATTTCTGTCCCACCTGGCACCCGGATCCATGAGCCCAGGTACAGTAGCAAAGGCCTCACATTCCTCATCCAAGGGAGGGCAAAGGACATGCCTAGCCCTCCAGTGCTACCCCAGCCCAGAACTTCAGGCTTGATGGGTGCTCTCAGCACTCACTTGTCTGTGATTGTGTTCAGTATGTTAAGCTTTCTCACTTATTTCTACACTTTATTTCTATCTCAATTTCAAGAAAAACTGTCATTTCTATACTTAAGACATTAATCTTACTTTACCTGTCTAAGATCCAGTCCCCAGGGCTGTGGATTTCTAACTTTAAGGAATGAAGCAAAGGATAAAAGACCAGAAATACTTTTTTTAAAGATTTATTTATTTAATTTTAGTTATTCATTCATTTATTTTAATTTGACCAGAGAGAGAAAGTGAGAAAGCAAGCCACCAGGTCTGGGATTCGAACCGTGGTCATCCATGTGGGAATGTCCAGTACCTTATCCATCATGCTACCCGCTGGTCCCCAAGACCAGAAATACTCTTAAATGATACAATTGTCACAGTTAACTTTTTTTTAACCAGAAGGTACATGCATTTACCAGAGAAGGAGAAAGACTTCTCCCCAGTGGGGTCACACCTCTCCATTTCTTCCTGAAAGGATTTAGGACACACATACACACACACTTGATATTTTATTTCTTTTTTTGGAGAGGTTTTTGCTATAGGGCGCATGCGATTGCTAGAAAGACAGAGAGGGGCAGAGAGACAGAAAGCGAGAAATCACCCCCTCCCCAGGGTGGATGGCCACGCCGCAATCCCTTCTCCTCCATTCTCCTCTCGGGATCTTGGGCACGTAAGCACATGCACCCGGCATGAGTTTAAGCCACCGGGTTCGGGACTCGAACCACGGTCGACTACATGGGAGTCCAGCGACATAGCCATTACTCTAATTGCTGGTCCCTACACTTGATGTTTTCTAAACCTCTGGGAGTTGAGATTCAAGCTGGTTGGCCGTGTGGGATCCAACTCCCTTAACCACCAGACTACAGGGCCAGCCTGGGTTTTTGTTTTGTTTTATTTTTTATTTATTTATTTTTTTTAAAAGAGGGTGTGTGCACTAGCCAGAGAGAGACAGAGAAAAGGAAGGTGAGAAAGCATCCCCCCTTGGGGAATGGTCACACCACAGTCTTTTTTTTTTTTTTTTTTTTGATAGGTTTTAGT